GTGTTAAGTTTTTTGAGTTCTTTGTATATCCTGGAGATTAATGCTGTATCTGAGGTTCAGGTGGCAAAGATTTTCTCCCACTCTTTTATTTATATATATATATATTTTAGTTATAGTTGGACACAATATCTTTATTTATTTTTATGTGGTGCTGAGGATCTAACCCAGTGCTTCAACATGCAAGGCGGGCACTCTACAACTGAGCTACAGCCCCAGCTCCAGATTTTCTCCCATTCTATAGCCTTTTCTTTGTTGTTAAGAAGCTTTTTAGTTTGATACCATCCAATTTATTGATTCTTGATTTTACTTCTTGCACTTTAGGAGTCTTGTTGAGGAAGTTGGTTCCTAGGCTGACCTGATGGAGAGTTCGGCCTACTTTTTCTTCTAGTAGGTGCAGGGTCTCAGGTCTATGTCCTTGAAACACTTTGAATTGAGTTTTGTGCAGGGTTAGAGATAGGGGTTCAATTTCATTCTGCTACATATGGATTTCCAGTTTTCCCAGCACCATTTGTTGAAGAAGAGGCTATCTTTTCTCCAAAGTATCTTTATGGTGCCTTTGTCTAGTATGAGATAACTGTATTTAAGTGGGCATGTCCTGTGTTTTCTCTTCTGTTTCATGGGTCTTTATCTCTGTTCTGGTGCCAATACATGCCATTTTTGTTACCATAGCACTGTATTATAATTTAATGTCTAGAGTTGTGATGCCTCCTGCTTCACTTTTCTTGTTGATGATTGCTTTGGCTATTCTGGGCCTTTCATTTTTCCACATTGTTTTATTTTAAAATTGCTTGTGTTTTTATATTTAAAACATGTTTCTTTCAGGCAGAAAATAGCTGTCTTGTCCCCCCATCCCAATCCTTACAACCTCTGCTTCTAGTTGGGCTTTTTAAATCATTTGCATTTATTGTGATTATTGATAGGGTTATGTTTAAATTTATCATTTTGATATTTGTTGTGTAGTTATCCCATCTGTTCTTTATTCTTCTTGTTTTTATTTTGCCTTCTTTTGAAATGAGTATTGTTTATAATCCCACTTACCAATTATATTTTAAGGATATTTAAATAATTAATTCTCATATAATTACTCATGTAATTACTATTTCCAGTATTCTTCATTCCTTTACAGAGATCTCAGCTTTCAACTGATATTATTTTCCTTCTGCCTGAAGGATTTCCTTTAATGTGTGTGTGTGTGTGTGTGTGTGTTTATCGCAGATCTGCTGGTAATAAATTATTTCTGAAAACATCTTTATTTCCTTTGAAAATCTTATCTTTTAATCTGTTGTCTTCATTGGGAATTTCATATTCACTTTTCCAGTCAGAAAAGCATTATGTGCTTATTATGTACTAATGGGTATTAGGTACCTATTATGTTGCCAGGTACTCTCCTAGACATTTGGGTATATGGCAGTGACCAAATCAGGGTGGGGGGAAACTGTCTTAATGGAAATTAAATTTTTCTTGGGGTAGACAGATAACAAATAAGTCAATATAAAGTGATAAAACAATAAGAGCTATGGAGAAGGGAATAGGAACATTCTGGTTGGGCTGTGGGGATTTTCATGGGCTAGTTAGGAAAACCAGAGGATGAGAACAGAGAGGCAGTGAGGGTTGGATTATGGAATGCCTCACAGGAGTATTAAATGAAGTGAAAGGTCACTACAGGGCTTTGAATCAGAAATGACATGATCTGACTTAAGTTTTAAAAGGATTGCTGTGGCTTCTATTTTGAAAATGAACTGTGTTGGAGAGTGGGAGCAAGAACACAGTGAGTCAGGAGGCTGGTATAATAATCCATTTAGCAATGATGACAGTAACTCAGACCTGTGAGAAGTGGTTGGATTCTGGATATCTTGAAGGTCAGTGTGAAGGATTTGCTAATGGATTGGATATGGGTATGAGAAAAGGAGTGGGTAATGATTCCATGGCTTTGGCCTAAAGAAATGGATGGTACTTTGTAAATATTGGATGAATCCATGTATGAGGAGGTTATGAATTCAAGATTGGGGCTGTTAATTTTGAGATGACTGTTAGACCATTACATGGAGATGTGGACTGGACAATTAGAGGTAACCTTCTGGAGAGCAGGAGAGAAGTCCAAATTGAGATTCTTGTGCAAGTCACTGGTCGCCACTTGGAAGAATTATAAAATATTTGTGGAAGGAAAATTATCCCATTTACAGTAACATCAAAAAATAAAATACTTGAGAATAAATTAAAAAAAAAAGGAGGTGAAAGACCTCCACAATGAAAACTACAGAGCCCTAAAGAAAGAAATTGAAGAAGACCTTAGAAGATGGAAAGATCTCTTATATTCTTGGATAGGCAGAATTAATATTGTCAAAATTTGTATACTATCAAAAGTGCTATACAGATTAAATGCAATTCCTATTAAAATTACAATGACATTCTTCATTAAAAATATAAAAAGTAGTCATGGAATTTATTTGGAAAAATAAGAGGACCAGAATAACAAAAGCAATCCTTAGCAAGAAAAGTAAAGCAGGAGGCATCACAGTACCAGATGGTAAATTATACTACAGAGCTATAGTAATAAAAACAACATGGTATTGACACCAAAACAGACATGGAGACCAGTGAAACAAAAGAGAAAACACAGAGACATGCCCACATAAATACAATTATCTCATATTAGACAAATGCACCATAAACTTGCTTTGGAGAAGAGATAGAAAATGGTGCTGAGAAAACTGGAAATCCATATGTAGAGAATGAAATTGAACCCCTATCTCCAACCCTGTACAAAACTCAACTCAATGGCTGGGGTTGTAGCTCAGTAGTAAAGCAATTTCCTAGCATGTGTGAGGCATTGGGTTTAATTCTCATAAATAAAGCACATAAATAAATAAAATAAAGGTCCATGGACAACTAAAAACAATATATATTTTTTAAAAACCTCAAAGTGGATAGAGGACATAGACCCAATATGAGAAAAAAATATTCACCAATAAAAACAGAGTGACAACCAGAGATATGAAAAATTGTGCTCTATATGTGTGATATGAATTGTAATGCATTCTGCTGTCATATGTAACAAATTAGAATAAAAAGAAACATACACATACACAAAACAGAGTGAAAGAATAAACTGTGGTATGGTCACTGAATGGTATTCTACAATAAGAAAAAAAATGTACATGCAACAGTGTTTATGAAGCCAAACAGAAAAGTATTTCTGTATGATTCTATTTTTATAAATAAAACTAAAGTATGTTATTAGAAGTCAGGATGGACATTATTAGAGGGGAGGAGAATGTAAGTAGTGGTTAAACAGTGCTGGGAGCTCTTCTGGAAGTCTGGTAATGTTTTACTTTCCCCTGGTAGTGGTGATTTATTTGCTTGATTATCCTTCATTGAGCTGCACATTTAGTTTTGGATACTTTTTGGCATACATGTTACTTTTTTTTTTAAATGTTAAACTGTCATGTTAACATACCTCCTTGGGAAAAATCTGTTGTCTAGGCTCTAATTTTCCAAGCTGTGCTTGAGTCCTGGCTATCCTCTTTCTAAGTGGTCATGAATTATAAAAGGTAACCTGTGTAAACTATGGTGGGAAGATTGTTCCACAAGTAACCAGGCTCCCAATACTGGGAAAGAGGCAGAATAACAGTCAACTGAAAGAATTAGTGCAGAGCTAAGCCTGTCTCCCTTGACATTGAAAATTTTTATTGTTAAGTTTGTGCTTTAAAATGAATTAGAACTCAATAGGAAATTGTGCATGGAAGTATAACATTAAAGCTCCAAAACCTGTATACATAACTATAAGATAGAGCATTATTTCTCAATAGAATACAGGACAGTATAAACATATATCTTAAGTTGGGTTAGTTATGTTAATTATTTTGCTTCTTTTAGCATTAAGGTGTGCTATAATTTCTCCTTTATACAAAGATGTTTGTCTTCTAGTGTTTATTCATACTATTAAAGTAACCTACATAGTACAGTTACTTAAGAACCAAATCCTACTCTTACATATGTATTGGTCATGTCCTCATTGATACTTAAGTTGCCTCAATTTCTTACCACAGTTCAAATAGTTAGCACTATAGACCAAATCTAACAATATAAAATATAAGAGGGATAAATGCAAGGCCTTACAAGGTTTAAGATGAAAAAAAGGAAAAGTATAATTTACCAACATGGGTGATAAGTTTCAGGGTGTTAATTTATTTAAGGTCTACCTCTTCAATGAGACTGTCACTGAAAAGGTTAATGATTGTAGGCTGCACTGCTCAGTAATAGGAGATAAAACTAGATCATAGCAAGATTATGGTAAATTTGTGGCATCATGTTTTGTGTGACATTGACAAACTATAGCTCATCCAAAGGAAGGCTGCAGATTTCTAGAGGTTGTGAAAAATGTATTATTTGGCTGAAGAAACTAGGACCCTGAAGTCTCATAACAACTTTATAAGGCATTATCTCCATTTTACAGAGAGAAAATTGAGGCTCAGAGAGAATAAATTATTTATTAAAATGTATGTAATTGAAAAGTGGTTGGCTCAGGACCCAGATCTCTTTTTTTATAATTTGTTTATTTATTATAATTTGTTATGCATGACACAGAATGCATTTCAATTCATAGTACACATATAGAGCACAATTTTTCATTTCTCTGTTGTACATAAAGTAGAGTCACACCATTCGTGTCTTCTTCAATAGATGAATGGATAAAGAAACTGTGGTATATATACACAAAGGACCCACATCTCTTGATTATTAATCTGGTATTCTTTCTGTTTACAAATATTGGTGTTTAATTTTATTTCTTAAAAGCTTAGCTGTTGTCTCAGGAAATATGAGGAAAAACTTGAAGCTATGAAGGAAAGGCTACAGATTAAATGAAAGGCAAGGGAACATTCAGGGTAGGGAGAATGTTTCTCATATTTTCTCTGTTTGAGAAAATAGTTGGATTGTTAGAATTATGTTTATCAGTATTACAGAAACATTTTTTTAAACATATTTTTCTGTTTTTCAAGGTTTTTGATTCCAATGAAGAATCTGGGTATCTTGTTCTCACCATAGTTATATCCGGTCACTTCTTCATTTCCCAGGGACAGACACTACTGGTAGGTCTTATGCCTAAGTTTAACATGCAAATGTGTTTCTTTATCTTCTTAGTTTTACATTCATTTTTGTACCCTCAAACTTCTTCATTCTCACTGAAATTCTGTAAGTTCAACAAATTAAGCATTATCAAACATGCTATAACAGTAGAGAGAGAAATATACCATGTATCACCTGCTCTAAAGATGTTTAGGATTTAGTGAATCAAAGTAGATCAAAGGATTGAGATTAACCAGTATGATAAAGTTTTTTTAATTGGGGAGATTGATTTGAAGAAAGGCTAGATGTATAGAAAAGGCCAGAGGGTTTTCCAGGTAGGGAAAACAGCATATGCACAGGGAATGGATTTGAGGAATTAGCTGAACGAAAACCAAGGATGTTGTTATTGATTGGTAGACTCCTCCAAAAAATTCTTATTTATGAAGAAGCATTTGTTCTTTACTCTGTGTATGTATACATTTTAGAAAATTTTAGAATTAAGAAATATATGAAAGAAAAAATAAGAATAATCTTGCTTACAAGTTTAGGGGTTTTTTTAGTATATTGAAATAACAAAGAATTATTAATTCTTAATCCAAAAAATCATATAAGTAGGGAAAGGTTGAGGCTGGGGTTGTAGCTCAGTGGTAGAGCACTTGCTGCGCATGTGTTGGGTACTGGTTCAATCCTGGGCATCACATAAAAATAAATAAAATAAAGGAATTGTGTCCATCTACAACTAAAACTATTTTTTAAAAAGAAGGGAAAGGTTATAGAAGGATATTACATCATTTGGCCATGAATAATGTTCACATAGGCATAATAAATTCAAATAACAAATATTTCCTGAATATATACCTAGACGTAGTTTACTCAATTAACAAGTATTTATTGAACACTCTTGTACACTAGGCATTTTAATTTGGGAACTAGTGACATAGCAGCGAACAGTACAGACAAAAATCCCTATCATTGTGGACTGTCCTCATTCTAGTGAGGAGAAACATTAATAAGCAAATAGGCCAAATATATTTAAAAGACATTAATTTTTTGGTGAATCCCTTACGTGTTCTGCTCTGATATGATGGTGATGGTAGGGTATATTGTGATGATTCATCTTTCTACTTAAAGGAAATATGGCTTTATCCCTGAATGTGAAATGACCTGCAGAGTCATCTTTGTGCTCCTCATGACTTTTAAACTGCAGTATGAGTTGCACTGTTTTGTTGTATCTGCCACTGTCAGGGCCTGCATTCCTTGCACTTTAGATGTTTAATGAAGCATACTCCAGACCATAGCCTTAGGGATGCCTAGCACATCTAGTTCTCCCTTTCAGTGTTATAGGTCTTTGTTGAATGGTGATATTAATACAGCTTGACTTCCTCAGGATTGTCTCTGCTCCATCTTTTTTGCACAATTGTGTCATTACAAAATGGTCAAAGTTTCTTTGTATCATATGTGGAATGATTTTTGCAATGCAGTTAAATAACCAAGTTTATTAAATTCCAAGATAACCACTACTGAGAAATAGAAGGGTAATTCTTAACTCTACAACTTGATGCATCTGTAACTTCAATACTGAGTAATAAAAAATCTTGTACTGTCATGTGTAACTAATTAAAACAAAAAAAAATAAAAAATAAAAAGTAAAAATTAAAAAAATTAAAAACAAACAAAAAAATCTTTAAACAAGCTTTTGTTTGTGTATATTTTTATCTTTCTTTGGTTAAATGCCTAAGAAAGGAAGGTACGTACTGGTGGGTCAAATGAAATGTCTCTTTTTAACTTTATAGGAAAGTACAAAACAACTTTCTAAAGTTGCAGTTCCGTAAGCACTGTGTGAGGGTTCTACCTGTTCCATATACTCACCAATGCTTGTTGTTGTTGTTGTTTTAACTATTCTAGTACCCAGTAATATCTCAAGGTGGTTTTAATCTGTTTTTCTTTAATGACTAATGAAATTGAGCATCTTTTCATGTGTTTGCTTGTCATTTGCAGGTCTCCTTGGTGCAGTGTCTCTTCCTGTCTCTTAACTATTTTCAGTTGAGTTGTTTACATTCTTGTATTCAAATTATAAAAGTCTTTCTTTCAGTTACACCTCTTTTTATCAGAGCATGTACTGCAAATATTTCTCCAGTTTGTGGCTGGCGTTTTTATTTTTTAGTGTCTGTTGAAAAACAAGTTTAAAATTTTGAGGTTCATTTTGTCCTGTTATGATTCATGCTCTTTGAATGCTATTTAATCAATTTTTATCTACTCCAGGTTTACAAAGATTACTATTTTCTTCTGGTTTTAAATAGTTGTAGCTCTTCTATTTAGGCCTGTGGTATATTATGAAATGTTTAGTATTATTTGATAATATTATTTTTATTTTGTATAGAATTCTTTCCCTCAAAGCAATGTGACACTGATAAAAATTATTTTATTATGCAATATAATCATAGATCTTAGGGAATTTACATCTTAAATCATTGAGTTAATTTTTTTTTTAATTTTTATTGTTGGTTGTTCAAAACATTACATAGTTCTTGATATATCATATTTCACAATTTGATTCAAGTGGGTTATGAACTCCCATTTTTACCCCGTATACAGATTGCAGAATCACATCAGTTACACATCCATTGATTTACATATTGCCATACTAGTGTCTGTTGTGTTCTGCTGCCTTTCCTATCCTCTACTATCCCCCCTCCCCTCCCCTCCCCTCCCCTCTTCTCTCTCTACCCCCTCTACTGTAATTCATTTCTCCCCCTTGTATATTTTTCCCTTTCCCCTCACTTCCTCTTGTATGTAATTTTGTATAACCCTGAGGGTCTCCTTCCATTTCCATGCAATTTCCCTTCTTTCTCCCTTTCCCTCCCACCTCTCATCCCTGTTTAATGTTAATCTTTTTCTCATGCTCTTCGTCCCTACTCTGTTCTTAGTTACTCTCCTTATGTCAAAGAAGACATTTAGCATTTGTTTTTTAGGGATTGGCTAGCTTCACTTAGCATAATCTGCTCTAATGCCATCCATTTCCCTGCAAATTCTATGATTTTGTCATTTTTTAATGCAGAGTAATACTCCATTGTGTATAAATGCCACATTTTTTTTTATCCATTCGTCTATTGAAGGGCATCTAGATTGGTTCCACAGTCTTGCTATTGTGAATTGTGCTGCTATGAACATCGATGTAGCAGTGTCCCTGTAGCATGCTCTTTTTAGGTCTTTAGGGAATAGACCAAGAAGGGGAATAGCTGGGTCAAATGGCGGTTCCATTCCTAGCTTTCCAAGAAATCTCCATACTGCTTTCCAAATTGGCTGCACCAATTTGCAGTCCCACCAGCAATGTACAAGTGTACCCTTTTCCCCACATCCTCGCCAGCACTTGTTGTTGTTTGACTTCATAATGGCTGCCAATCTTACTGGAGTGAGATGGTATCTCAGGGTGGTTTTGATTTGCTTTTCTCTGACTGCTAGAGATGGTGAGCATTTTTTCATGTACTTGTTGATTGATTGTATGTCCTCCTCTGAGAAGTGTCTGTTCAGGTCCTTGGCCCATTTGTTGATTGGGTTGTTTGTTCTCTTATTGTCTAATTTTTTGAGTTCTTTGTATACTCTGGATATTAGGGCTCTATCTGAAGTGTGAGGAGTAAAGATTTGTTCCCAGGATGTAGGCTCCCTATTTACCTATTTATTGTTTCTTTTGCTGAGAAAAAACTTTTTAGTTTGAGTAAGTCCCATTTGTTGATTCTAGTTATTAACTCTTGTGCTGTGGGTGTCCTATTGAGGAATTTGGAGCCCGACCCCACAGTATGTAGATCGTAGCCAACTTTTTCTTCTATCAGACGGCGTGTCTCTGATTTGATATCAAGCTCCTTGATCCATTTTGAGTTAACTTTTGTGCATGGTGAGAGAAAGGGATTCAGTTTCATTTTGTTGCATATGGATTTCCAGTTTTCCCAGCACCATTTGTTGAAGATGCTATCCTTCCTCCATTGCATGCTTTTAGCCCCTTTATCAAATATAAGATAGTTGTAGTTTTGTGGATTGGTTTCTGTGTCCTCTATTCTGTACCATTGGTCCACCCGCCTGTTTTGGTACCAGTACCATGCTGTTTTTGTTACTATTGCTCTGTAGTATAGTTTGAAGTCTGGTATCGCTATACCGCCTGATTCACACTTCCTGCTTAGCATTGTTTTTGCTATTCTGGGTCTTTTATTTTTCCATATGAATTTCATGATTGCTTTCTCTATTTCTACAAGAAATGCCGTTGGGATTTTGATTGGCATTGCATTAAACCTATAGAGAACTTTTGGTAATATCGCCATTTTGATGATGTTAGTTCTGCCTATCCATGAACAGGGTATATTTTTCCATCTTCTAAGATCTTCTTCTATCTCTCTCTTTAGGGTTCTGTAGTTTTCATTGTATAAGTCTTTCACCTCTTTTGTTAGGTTGATTCCCAAGTATTTTATTTTTTTTGAAGATATTGTGAATGGAGTGGTTGTCCTCATTTCCATTTCAGAGGATTTGTCGCTGATATACAGGAATGCCTTTGATTTATGCGTGTTGATTTTATATCCTGCCACTTTGCTGAATTCATTTATTAGCTCTAATAGTTTCTTTGTAGACCCTTTTGGGTCTGCTAGGTATAGAATCATGTCACCTGCAAATAGTGATAATTTAAGTTCTTCTTTTCCTATTTTGATGCCTTTAATTTCTTTCGTCTGTCTAATTGCTCTGGCCAGTGTTTCGAGAACTATGTTGAACAGAAGTGGTGAGAGAGGGCATCCCTGTCTTGTTCCAGATTTTAGAGGGAATGCCTTCAATTTTTCTCCATTCAGAATGATGCTAGCCTGAGGCTTAGCATAGATTGCGTTTACAATATTGAGGTATGTTCCTGTTATCCCTAGTTTTTCTAGAGTTTTGAACATAAAGGGATGCTGTACTTTGTCGAATGCTTTTTCCGCATCTATCGAGATGATCATATGGTTCTTATTTTTAAGTCTATTGATGTGGTGAGTAACATTTATTGATT